AGATTCTTTTTTATGTGAATGTTTCTTGTCTGATCTGGCCCCTACTTTATCCTCTTTCATCCTCTCCTCCTGACTAAAACCTAGAGAATCTCTATCAATAGACTCTCCTCTAAGAGAAGTCTCTGTCCAATCCACGTGCTCCTCTGCAGTAATCGGTTTTCCCCCATCTCTTAGTTTAAAAACTGCTCTGCAACCTTTTTAATGTTAAGTGCCAGTAGTCTGGTTCCACTTTGGTTTAGGTGGAGCCCATCCCTCCTCTATAGGCTCCGCCATCCCAAAAGTTTCCCCGGTTCCTAATAAATCTAAACCCCTCCTCTCTATACCATCGTCTCATCCATGCATTGAGACTCTGAAGCTCTGCCTGCCTACCTGGCCCTGCTCATGGAACTGGAAGCATTTCTGAGAATGCCACCATAGATGTCCTGGATTTCAGTCTCTTCCCTAGCAGCATAAATTTGGCCTCCAGGACATCTCTCCTACCCTTCCCTCTATCATTGGTACCTACATGTACCACGACCACCAGTTCCTCCCCAGCACTACACATAAGTCTATCTAGATGTCTCGAGAGATCCACAACCTTCGCACCAGGCACGCAAGTCACCATATGGTTCTCCCAGTCATCACAAACCCAGCTATCTATGTTTCTAATGATCGAATCTCCCATTACTAACACCTGCCTTTTCCTCGTGACTGGCGTTCCCTCCCCCAGAGAGGTAATATGTAGAATAGAATATGTATACAGTAACTCCTCACTTAAAAGTCGTCCCGGTTTACGTTGTTTCATTGTAATGTTGCTGATCAATTAGGGAACATGCTCGTTTAAAGTTCCACAACCCTCCCTTATAACGTTGTTTGACAGCCGCCTGCTTTGTCCACTGCTTGCAGAAAGAGCAGCCCATTGCAGCCAGCTAGTGGGGGCTTGGAACCAGGGTGGACCGGCAGACCCCTATCAGCTCCCCGCTCCCCTAAGTTCCCTGTGCAGCAGCCACCCTAGGCAAGCTATCAATTGCCAGCAGTTCAGCTGTCCCTCCCCACACAGCCATGTGCTGCTCCTGCCCTCTGCCTTGGAGCTGCTCCCAGGAGCCTCCTGCTTGCTGTGGGTGGGGGGGCGGAGAGGGGTGAAAGAGGGGGCTAATGTCA